CTGGGTGGTTAAAAGCTATGGTTAAAGCCTGGTCAGGTGCCTAAAATAGGAACTGCCTGTGCAGAAAGCCTTTAGGAAGGCCAGAACCTCTCAAATTCCTGAGTTTTCTTAGCCAGAAAGAGAGTGTTGATGTAAAGTCTTGTTTCTCATTTGGGAGCTCAAGGTTAGGTGCAGTGAACACCTCCCCTAAACTTTTACCTGGCTGCTGAGAATGTCAGCAAAAACTCTGAGAATGACTGCCAGCCACAGAAACAAGACACACACGTGAAAAAAAGGCCTGTCAGGATGAGGACAATCCGGCCTTTTGTGTTCTGTGTTCCAAATGGGTCAGAGAAATACAATTAAAATATGTTCAGGCTGCACCACCTTCTCCAGTCAGCTTTTTCTCAGCAGCCTCACAGCTGGTGCTGTGCTCTTCTATTTAAAAATCTATTAAAAGTTCTTTCAATACAAACTGTTAAAAGTGAGTTTACCTCCAAGAAGTTTTATGGTCAGAATTTATTTGATTTTTAAACTTTTGAATTAAAATAAAAGAAACCTAACCCACAGCAGATTGACGTGGTGGCACAGTCCTCTGGTACCTATTGGGAATGCAATCTGGGTTTTTCATCAGCCTGCTATGTAGAAGAAAGTGACTCTGTGTGCCTACAGCTGTCTCTTAATTGGAAATTTGTTTACAAATGTAATGAACTTCTCATCATTCTTACACTCGAGTCTCAAGTCAGTCGCATGAACAGGCTGAAAATCAAATTTATTTCACTTAAGAACAAACCAGGGTCTGGTGCTGCCCACTGACAGTGATTTGTGTAAGACATGACTATATTCTCATTGACATACTCAGCTTTTCTCTGGGACTTGGAGGCAAAATCAGCTCAGTGCAAGCCCCAAGGCAGTGGCCACCCCTGGCTGCCACCAGCTCCAGTAAATGCAGCTGAGGATCCTCAGCACCATGTAGGATCTGTTGTATTCCTGTGTGCACAGAAAGCTGAATTCCAGACCATTAATTCAATAAACGTGTGGGTTTTCCTCCATTTGCAGGGTAATAATATTAGCATAAATACAGGTTCTGTGTATCACTCATAGGGAAACTTTAATGCTGCCTAATCTCCATTTTCAGGAAGACTGGAGGAACTGCAGTAAAGCTGAATTCCTAATGCCTGTTGTACTACTCTTGAACATGGGGTGGGCATGATAAGTGAATTACACCTTTGTTGGAATCTAATTCCAGTCATTTACATGCACCAGCAATGACATTTGTAATGCATTTTCCTCCTAGACAAAAGCACTCATGGACAAGCTTCAGAAGACTGTGTCATCTGAAGGAAGATTTAAAAACCTGAGAGAAATGCTCAAAAAGTATGCCTCCCTACACTCTACAACTGTGTTTTGTTACAAACAGCACATAGTTCATGTTAAAGATTAATTGGCTTTGATTAAGCTTTAATAATTTATATTTTTTTTTGCCTAGTAACCTTTTAAATTCTAGGTTGATTCTATTTGGCATTATTGTTTTGCTGAACATGCTGTGATTGAATACCCCTGATGGGTAAACACAGTGGCTCCAGAGAATTCCTGAAACAAATTAAACTATTTTTCTGTGTGAACATTCCCTGTTGGGGTTTCACATACACTGATAAACTTTTTCAATAAGTGTAGAGCCAGCTTTATAAATTAAAGTGTTTATGAAAACCAGTATTGTTCTAGTTAAGAATTTTAGGGCTTTGAGACTAAGCCTGTGTCAGGTCACAGGCCCATGACAATAAATTATGTTTCTTCCAGTAAATTACGAGAGGGACAAAAAGACAGGACAAAGGCACAGGGATATTTCTTCTCCTGTGGACTCCCAGCCTGCTGGAAAACAGCCTGCTTCTTTTGTGCAGCAGTCCTTGAATATTGTTTTCTTTAATTGATTTTCCAGATTGCATTTGACATTCTGTAATTTTGGTATGCAGGATATTCCATGTCAAGTGTTCTACAATTTATGTACTGATTCCAGCTGCATAAAAACCTGATTTTTTGGTGAGTTTTGTAATTGGAAGCAGGCTTTTCCAGAATCGAGTGGCACAACTACCTCAAGTGATCTTGAGAGAAGCCGAGAACTGAGCAGCCAGAATAATTAATGGTATATTTTTAAAATGGCAATAATTTTAGATACTGGGCAGAATGCATTCAATTTATCACAGGCAGAGCAAACACAACTCCAGCAGAGCCAGAACAACCCATTGAAGCAATGAAGAGTTTGTGCAAGTTAGAAAAAAATGAATTTGCAAATGTTGCTGCAGGCAAATAATGTGATTTGTTGGTTTACAGCTGTAACCCACCTGCTGTTCCCTACCTTGGGATGTACCTGACTGACCTGGCATTCATTGAGGAAGGAACACCCAACTTCACTGAGGAAGGCCTTGTCAATTTTTCCAAAATGAGAATGGTAATTTTCAGTTTCTTACACGCTTCGCCAGCAGGTGTTTAATTGTGTGAGTTAATTATTGATTTAATTGTGACTCCTCTGGATTTACCTTTGGAGAAATCAGTGCAGGAGAGGCAGCGATTGGAGAGCAATTCCAGTCTTCTATCCCCACCTTCTGGCAGGCTGGGCACTTTCACAACTTTTCACAGGATTTGTCCCCAGTTTATTTGCTTAGAAAGGACAGCAAAAGCAGCTGCCTGCAGCTCGTGCAGGAGCAAGAAAAAGCTTTTTTTTTACATAAGCAGAATTACGGGGATGCAGTGATTCACCAGGAAGCAGTAATCACAATGCTCTTCTCCAAGCGTGCCCTGGTCTGTCTGAAAAGCACTTTAAAGTCGATGCCTCTCCCCCTGCCGTGTAATGCTGCTTTGTGACAGCTCCTCGCAGGGAAGCAGGGAAATTTCTCCTCTAATCTCAGCCTAATGCCCATCCTAGGGCTGCACTCTGCAGCAGGGACTCGAGGCAGAGAGCAGGGAGGTTTCATTACGGGCAGAGAATAATTTCCCTCGGGTCTGGCTGAGAAATAAATGTTTGTTTTGGGAAAGTGAAGTCCCGGGGAGCTGTTGGGAGATGATCTCTACCCTTCCCTTTCCTCCTCCCGAGTTAAAGGGAATAATTCGGTGCAGAATTCCTGCTTTGTGTGGCTCAGCCGAAGCCGTGCCGTGGTTGCACTTACATGCATGTGTTCTTTTGAAAGATCTCACACATTATCAGGGAAATCCGCCAGTTCCAGCAGACCTCCTACCGCATCGAGCACCAGCAGAAGGTAAGGCTGCTGCCGCTGGCACCCGGCAATTCCTGTCAGGTACAGAGAAAGGTGGTGTCTGCTGCTCCCGCCCATGGAGGAGAGGACAGACAGACACATGGACAGAGCCCTGGGGCGGTGAGACCCTCACCCTGCGGGGACTCTTGGTTTGATGCATTATAAAGAAGTTTTTTTGCTCCTTTGGAAGGTCTCTGGGGATTACAGCCTTCGAGGGCGTGAGGGGTTCAGACAGAGGTGTGTTCTCCCTGCCCTGAGATGCTGGGATGAGGGTCAGGAGATGCCCCAAGCACCTCCCGAGGCATCCTGCAATTCTTTTTCCCTTTCTCCTTTCTCGGGAGTGATGCAGCTGGTCAGTGCCTTCAGAGAAGGCTCAGCTCAGACTCCAGGAGAGCAGCTTGGGCAGAGTTAACCTGGCAAAGGATTTGCCCATCCCTAAGAGGAATTAATCCCCATTACTTCTCAGAGGGCTGCGTCTTTGTGCCAGCAGCATTCCCAGCAGAGGTTGGGTTTCTCAAGAAAGCAGCACGGGGCGAGCTCGGTACCCAAAACGTGCTGAAAGGGCAAGAAAGCTGGGGAGATTTCTGTGTCAGCCACCATGCAGGCTGTCCCCTCTGTGTTTCCCCACCCCAGGTCACCCAGTACCTGCTGGACAAGACTCTCATCATGGACGAGGACACCCTGTACGAGCTGTCCCTCAAGATCGAGCCGCGGCTCCCCGCCTGACGCTGCCGCCTGCCCGGGGCCAGCTGGCAGCTCTGGGACACCCGCACAACCATGCATGCCTAAAACACAGCCAGAGCATCTCTGACCAAGAGTGCCAGCTCTCTTCTCCTGTAAGAGATCCAGGGTCTCACCGCCTTTCCCTCTCAGGCAACGCGAGCGAGTGCTGGAGGTGAAAGTCAGACCCTTCCTACCCGGCTTCAGCGATTTCTGCTTTGCAAAGATCACGCTTGGCATTAGGGACCATGGCTTCGTGGGAAACAGGAGACTTTCCTGTGAACAGGCACTCACTGCAGCCATCTCACATGGCAGTTCCAGGGTACGGATTTAAAGGGTGGTAATATACTCAGGTGCATTAGGCTGAATAAGCAAGGTGAGGTGGCTGGGTTGATGGCTAGCTATGTGTTCACTGAGGCATAATGGCTGTGGTGTTCTCATTGTGTTAATTTCATTGAAAAAACAGAGTTTTAGCACTCGTCTACTACTTTGGAGTGATGTTAAGGCAGCATCTAGTAGCTTCAGATCTGCAGTTGTTCAAAACACCTGCTGTACATTTAATGCTGCTCTCTGTAAAACATTTTCTGCTTTAAATGTCTCATCAGCCTTCTCTAAGGTGACTGATTGTATCTATAAAAATTTCTTGTAAATATCTTTTTCATCAGTGAGAGTATTTACAGCGTGGAGGGCACATGGACTGGTGTAATAGTTGTAAATAGTTGCCAGCTGGGAAGGAGAGGGACCCAGAGGAGTGGTGCAGGGGATGGAGAGTCACGTTGCACACAGCGCTGGAAAAGGCACTTTATTTTCCTGCACCTCCTGCAGCTTCTCTGACAAGTCAGGCTACAGAGCACTTTCTGACACACTGTGGAGAGAAATACATGTCTTTGTGGCAGCAGGTGGTGATCAGCAGTGAACACTTGGAGCTGGAGTGACAGTTTTGTTTTACGTAGAATCGGTGGTTTGAAAAATCGAACATGTCAGTGGCAAACACTGAATGCCAGCAAACACAAAGTATGTGTTTTTATCGGAGCTGGTAACTATCACCTGCATATATGTTTGAGAAAATGTGCTATTTGTAAATGTTCTCAGAGCCTCTGCTTTTGTGACGTACCAGGTAGATAGATGTAATTTCTACAGTAGTTGGTACTTGTTGTATTTTCCTCATCAAGAGTGGCCTGTTGTAGCTGCATGGGAAGTGAGCTCAAATGCTGTGAAGGACATCATAGTAGAAAACACAGGTGTTAGCACTGTTGAAAACAAAAATTGGCTGGAAAAGTGTCCTTTTCCAATGATACTCCTCAGCCAGTTGAAGAAATAGGGCTATATCACCGTATACCTCCCTTAAATCCTCTCAGGGAGACAGATGTTTAGAATAGATTGTGACTTAGGCCTATTTGATCTGACATATCTTATGCAGTCGTGATGCTTCTTAACGCTGGTGGTGAAAAATGGACCTGCCTGGCTTGTGGTTTTTGTCTTTATTTGCACTTTAATTACGTGGCTGGCCCAGCCCAGAGCTGCACAATGAGTTCCATTCCTTCTGTCTGAGTGTGACTGCCAGCATCTGCAAATGTACCTTAGCAACTGTAAATTTCATTAAGGTCCTTCTCCACAAGGACCATCTCCTTGTAAATAACTGCATGGGGAGGTGTCACAGATACTGGAAAATTCCTTCGCTTGAAAAGCAGACAGCAGGAGAGGTGGAAATGCTGGGAGCAGTTTAAATAGCTCTGGCTAATGATTGCTGTAGAAATGTTACTTATAGAAGCTTTGTATTGTAAAAAATGTGTTTGTTTCTTGTGACTAATGATTGACAAGAAGCTGATTGCATCCCAATGCATGATATGAGGAGAAAAGAAAAAAAAAAAAGAGCATGGGTTATTTGGACCACAAACCCAACTGAATGTGTATTTTCTGTACAAAGGCAGTTACCATTCAGTAGTTTGATAAAACACTTTGAAGAAATGGAGCGACAGGGAAAATGCGGTCCAAAAAGTGATTTCTTATGTTGGTTTTATTGTTTCATTGTTAACAAAACGTGTAACAGCTGTCAGTGTGAATGGGCATCTCTGTTGTACGCTGTGAAGTGCTGCTTCATCTGCCTGTACCCCGTTGTACCAAATCTGGATGTTCTTAGGGTTACAGGGTACAAATCCTCACCGTGCTCCTGCCACGCCGTCCTGTGCTTCACACGTGTGTGCTGTCCGTGCACTGTGCTGTGCTCGTGTGCTGGGAGCAGGGCACGGGGGCAGGCCCGGGCTCTGCCGGAGCTTGGAATCGCTGGGAATGTGGGAGTCCAGCCCCTTTGGGAAAGCACATCCTGCTCGTATGCCAAAGGTTGCCTCTTGCCCCAGTGGCCAGTTTAGGTCAGAATCAGGAGAGTTCGGAGGCTTGATCCGTGTTCGTAGCAGCAGCAGCAACAAAACCGTTTAAGAATCATTGTGGTCGCAGTAATGTCTGACTTGCCGATGATGTTTTTGCTTGGGGATACAATGCTTTTGTCAAAGCACAGGAAGAAGTGAGGACGCCCCGTGCCGCCCGCAGCCGCGCCGTGAGCACAGCTGGAAACAGCTGGGCTGGGCTGCGGGCTGCGTGCTGCACCTCGGGGCGGCCCGAGTGCCTCTGCTGCAGCCCTGCCGCTCCTCTGGGCTTTGGCAATAGTCGGTAGGCAGCAGCCACCTGCTCGGTGCGAGGCTTTGCCTGGCTCCAGCCCGACCAGCCCAGCCCAGCGCTGTCCCTGTGCGGCGCTGGGCTGCCGCTCCCTGTGCCGCCCCAGCGCAGCCACACGGCGTTGGGGACAGCCACCCGGGCCACCACACTCCCACCCTCTGCCTCTGCTGCTCCGGGGAGCCTGGCTCTGTCTCCCTTCGCATCGTGTCCCTCGCGGCGGGAGCATCCCGGCCCCGCCGAGGGAGCTGGAGCAGCCCCGCCAGCGAGGATGCTCTGCACAGGGAAGGGCAGAAGCGCCTCTCCAGTTGCCTTCTGAGCCCCCCAGCCTGCCGGCCGCGGGCGGGGGATGCTCCGAGCCCGGCGGGGCCGTGGCGCTGGCCGCGATGGGGATAAAGCGATTTTCACGCCCGCGGCTCCGGCGCCTTGGAGCGCACCCGTAGCAGCCCAGGTGTGCCCGCGGTGAGCCGGGAGCCTGGGCGGCAGCACAGACACGTCCCCTCCAGCCACGGAGAGCGCTCGTCACACGCTGACACAGGGTTAGAGTTGCCTTCACCCCCAGCCCCGTCCCCACCCCGAACCCAGCTGTTGTTAGCGATGCTCACCCCGTAGGTGAAAACCTGTAGAACTCACAGTGGCGGTGTGTGTTCGTCCTGTCCCTTCCCTCTGGCTAGTCCTGTGACACACAGACACGTAGCTTCGTGGTGAGAGGTGACACCCGGCACTGATCACCGATTTCCGAGTAAGGAGGAGGTCCCCGTTCCTCTTTCTGCTTTCCTAGTTTTTAAAACTGATTATTGTTCTGTAGGATAAAAAGGAACTTAATTATTTTAATTATTTATTAACTTAAACCATGTTGATTTTGATTTCAGGACATGTTACTTATCCCGAATTTTCCTTCATGTGTATTATTTATTTTAAGGGTTTTCCAAATCATTGTTTTGTTTGTATCAACATTCAGTCTTTCATCCTTTCACTCTTAGCAAGAGCATTAAACCTTGATGACTTACATCCCTCACCCACTGAGACATTTTTACCCACTCATAATTTTACTCACCAAGGGCAAAACCCTTCAGACCTCATTCTGATAATACCTTAGGCTTCACCGAGAGCTTTTCATAAGTCTTTGGGGATCTGGCTCTCAGCTATTTGCCTGTTACAGTTTTTGCCTCCAAAGGTCAAATGTCTCTGTCTAGGATGCTTCATGTCCAAAATGCTGCTCAGTGATTGTTGTTCTGTTGTACCTTCACTCTGAGGTAGTCTCTCCAGTTCTGTTTCCTAGGACAGTAGATGTGTGTTTATTTGACAGATGTACCTATATCAAACGTGTTACTTAGTGCACAATCCAGATGTTTTTGCATGTATTGCAACTTCTCTTTTGACCTGAGGTTATTGCTTTGTATTGTTAGTAAGGCATACCAGGCAAGGTGTTGTGCCTGTGTGCTAATAAACATTCTTTTCTTTCCCGAATTTCAAGAGTCCTCACTGGAATTTATTATTTTACCCCCTGTCATGAATAATTCAATCTACTCCTTCTGAACTACTGAGTCCCTTAGAAAAGCAAGTCATTGAAGAGGAAAAGAAAAAGGGAAAATTCTGGGTCTGTACTGGGGAAAAATGGTTCAAATTGCTGAGTTTTACTCTTCATTTTCACTCAAGATGCATTGCAGCTGCCATGGGCATCACTGGTAATAACTGACACTGGGTTGGGACTTGGGTCTACACATCCCTTGCTTTTCCTGGGCTGCTGTCCTGCCCTGGATTTAAAAGAACAATAAAGGCACATTTTACACACAGGAAAAGGCAGAAAACACAAAACCACAAAAGTGGTTTGTAAGTAGGTCGTGTCCCTCCCCTTTGGATAGGAAAACAAATCACATGGAGATAAAATGACTTTCAAATTGAAGAAAAATAGTTGACAGAGGTTGGGAGCACAAAACCAGGTCTCCAGCTGGTGCTACATGGTTTAATCACTGGGTACAGCTTTTCCATGTTGAACTCAGTAATTTCATGAAAACAGAAAGATTCCTCTCAAATTTGTTTCAAGAATTAACATTTTAGATAAGTAAACAGAAATGGCACAGCAGGTCTGGGTAAGAAGGAGATACAGCAAGTGACATAATAAAATCAGCTTCTCTTCAGTACTTTGTGACCTTCTGGCCACATCTTCTCCATTCTGCTTACATTTGTGGTGTTTCACATAAAAACTGAAATTAGCCGAGAGAGCAACTTACCCTTCAAGTTGTCAATGGAAGAAAAAAAAAATTGTAATACTTCCCAAGCAGCTCTGTTTAAAAGTCTGCAGGATAATTAATTTCAAATTGTTTTCCCAACACTTTAAACCATTCATTGTACTTATGCCAAACAGTTGGCTGATTTGCATCTTTATTCTAAGGCCATGATTTTAGGATCACAGAATGGTTTGGGTTGGGAGGGATCATAAATCCCATCCATCCCACCCCATCCACGGCAGGGACACTTCCACTGTCCCCAGTGTCCAGCCTGGCCTTGGGCACTGCCAGGGATCCAGGGGCAGCCACAGCTGCTCTGGGCACCCTGTGCCAGCCCTGCCCACCCTGCCAGGGAACAATTCCCAATTCCCAAGATCCCATCCAGCCCTGCCCTCTGGCACTGGGAGCCATCCTGGGATCTCCAAATAAATCTGAGAGTGCCCAACCCTTTTATCACTGACACAAAGGAAGCAGGGGAAGCTCTGGTTACAGGTTACAAAATCCTCAGCTCTGTGAAGAAATTAGTCTGGACTGGTCATGCAAAGATAATGAATAAGAATTGTGAAGGCTGAATGATGCCTTGAAAGTTACATTCCAGTATTCTGGCCCTATTTATGCAAAGCCTTAAAAGAAGTAAAATTTGAGAAGGACAGATTTTTGCTAGAAATGTCCGGTTTCAAAGAGGACTGGAACCGTGGCTGGTGCTTGTCCCAGCTCCTGGCTGCTGGACACAGCTCTGTCCACAGGGGATGGTAAATGTAGGAGCTGCAGAAATCTCTTCAAGTTTGCTGTCTCAGGGGTGGTACCTCCACTGTGTGATGCTCTGGATTGGGTGATGGGCCAGAAACCCTGGCAGAATGGTTGCTAAAAACTTGTCTTGTCTCACTCTGCCCCTCCTGGGAGTTCTGTGTTTATAGGATTGGGGACAATATGTGCAAATCACATCTAGATCCTTGATGTGTCTCATGCAGAGCCAACCCAGAACCTTTCCAGACAGAGAAGACACAAAGTCTTATCAGTGCCTCCCATTCCATTTGGAATAGCAATGTTTTGTTTATTCCGTTGTGTTTGCTGCAAAAATTTCATATCCAATGGGAAAACATCTGAAAAAAGAGCACCTTTTCCATTTTCTACCCATTCCTCCCCAGGTTTCCATGACAAAGAAATGCTGGATCACCATGGTGGAAAGGGAGAAGGTGTCCAGAGTTCAGGATACCTTGACCTCTGTGGTTCTTGTGATACCTTGGCAGCTCTGGTCATTACTGGTTTGAACCCCTGACAGTCACCATCTCAGAACTGATTCACTTGTGTCTGCAATGCAGCTGGGGAAAAAACCCCCAAAAAATAAAACCAACCAACCAACCAACTAAAAAAACCCAAAAAACAAAAAAAAACATAAAAGAAAGAAAAAATTAAAAAAAAAAAAAGAAAAGAAAGAAAGAAAAAAGAAAAATAAAGAAGAAAAAAAAAGAAAAAAAGAAAAAAAGGGAAAAGAAAAGAAAAAAGTCCACTTTTTGGATTTCAGAGATTCCTGTTTTTCCAAAGTGTCAGTTCCATGTGTAGGAAAACCTTTCCTCTTCCCTTCAGCCAGAAAACACACTGCTAATTATAGACAGCCTTTCCTCTACTCTGTAGTGGATGTCCTGTGATGAGCAACTTTAATAACTTAAAAATAGCTGGGGTTATTTTTAAAGCCCTGGCTGGGCCTCGTTGAGCTCTTTATTTAGTGGAGATGTATTAGCTCCTTTCTCTGGGGGAATTACAAGTGTGGGATGACTGCTCTGAGCCTGCTGGTCCCCTTGGCCAGTGTGTGCCCATGACTGGAAATCCACGGGCTGGATTTCCCTCCCCTGAGGGATGCAGGGGCTGGATCTCCTCTAAAAAGGGATTTTTTTTTTTTCCCCCCAGCCTGAGGGGGGCTGCACTGTGTAAGGGGATATCGAGCACCCACAGTCACGAGGAATTCTCAGTGAGAGGTCAGGGTAACCCCTGGGTATCAGCTGTGTTTGCTGCTCTGCCTTATTCTGAATCCCAGGAATTACAGACCCCTGGCACTGGAAAACCAGGAGCTGCCATCACAGCAGGGCAGAACCCAGCCTGTGCTATGGAAGGACATCGTGTCCAGGGGCTCCTTGCTGCTCTGATCCAGCAGCAGCAGAGACACTCACCTGTGACCTTGCCGAGCTCCTCAGGACAAGCACAGCACCCTCCCGCCCCCAGTCCCACACACACAGATCAGCTCAGCTCCTCACTCCTGTTCCACTGCTCATAAACCATTGAAACTCTACTCAAATAAATTGTCTCCTAAGTAATTGTGCCAACTACAAGTTTACCTGCCCCTTGCAGGTAACTGCCCTGCCCAGCAGCTCCCACGACAAACTGTGCAGGGGCAGATGGATTAATGTGAACTGCACCTGCATTAACACCCAGCTGCTGCTGCCTCCCCAGCACGAGCAGTGAAACCACAGCAGCATTTGAGTTGTTAGATAATTATAATTATATATTAGAGATGAAAACAGGGCATTATTTATGGATGATCCATGGCATCCCGACTGTTTCAGGAGCTGAATTTCTCACAAAACAGACCACACACCAGTAGTAAAGCCAAACTATTTTTTAAGTATTAATGATATATTCTTCAGAAATCATTAGGGAACCTGCTAACAAGGTTTTTCCAGGTGTTTCTTCTGTAAATTCACAGTCTGGGGTTTGTTTGCATCCTCTGTTCTACCAGGCTCTCAGCTGGCAAACAGGTTGAACCTCTGCATAATCCAGCCAGGCACTTCACAGCATCACCTGCCTCCAGGTGAAGTCCTGGTCTGCTCAAGGCCTTTATGAAAAAAAGGTAAAAAAATATAGGAGTAGGTGTGTGCCTCCATCACGAGCCATGGATTGGCTGTGCCTGTATTTCCTTACTCATGTTACCCCAGGAAATCCACAATTGTCTTTTTTTCCTCTATCAACACCAGGAACACAGGTGATAAAAAGCTGGTGTGCTGGAGAGGATGCACTGACCTGGAATGGCTGTTTTGGTTTTAATTATTGGGGGTGAGCACGGCTCCCATTAGCCCAAACAAGGCATGACATTTGGGGGGAGAGATGTCTGTGTTTTGTAAAGGTTCAAAATTCTGAACATGTGGGCTTGGGAAATTGAGATGTAAAACTAAAAGAACATTAAATGTACAAAGGGAAAAGGATTTTTAAGTCTTAGATTTTTAAAGGCTGCACAGTGCTGGCCTCTGTGCTCCTCTGTCAGCCTTGATACAGGTTCATCTCTGGTGGGAGCAGAGCCAGGTGACTGAAACTGATTATTCTTTCATGCTTCCCAACCCATGGTGTGTTATTTCTTGCTGTAAATTACTGCTACGTAGCTATAGAGATACAGCAATTCTAAATGCAATATAGTAATGTAATAACAGTAATTCTAGATGAGAGGCTTCAGAGGCTGTTTCATGTTTCTGGGCCCGTCTGCCTTACAGGTAGTCAGGAATTAATGTCATGAATTAAAAAGTAAAGAGGAGGGGGGAAAAAAAAATCCCAAATGCTGTGATCTCAGCTCCGTGCCCTGCCCTGTTTCCACCTGGGATGTGAGTGGCTGGAACTGTGGCACTGCCCTGCTCTGGTGCCTCTCCGGAGCTGCCCAGGCAGCACTGACCTTTCTCTTCTGGATGGTTCTGGCCGGTTCTGGCCCTGGGGAGGAGCAGCACCAGCCCCTGTGTCCGTGTCCGTCTGTCTGTCCATCGCTGACGCCCAGCACTCCAGAGGGGTTTGGGGGATGGAGCTGCTGCCACATCCCTCAAGGGCACCCTCGGCAGGGCAAATGCCACTCACCTAACCCAGCAGGGCAGGATTGGCCCCTGCAGCAAATTATTTTGGTTTTCCTCGCCTCCCTCTGCCCGTCTCAGGTTTCCTGGGCTCCTGTCAGTGCCCTGCCTCCTGCTCCCTCCACACTCTGGGCTCGCTGCAGGCAGCAGGACGTCCCTACCTCCAGCTCCAAGGTCAGTGTGACTGCACAAATATTGCTTTTCTAGCCTCAAAACCTAGCATTTCAAATGTGAGGGTTATTGGGTTCAGAGCACCGCGGGATGGTGGTGTGAATTTGAACACCAAATTTCATGATTATTTGACTTGTGGAAGTGCTTGGTGCAGGGAAGTATTGTGCCAGCTGCTTCAAATAACCTAATCACAGGATTATTAAGGTTTGGGAAAGACCTCCAGGATCATAAACCCAGACATTAATGCTGACCCTTAAGTAGCAATTTTAGTTAGAGAAAGAAAACGCTCTTTGCAGATGTGTAGCAAGGTCAGAGAAAATGTCTCTAACTACATGAGTTTTTTGTGGTTTTGATTGTAGCTCTCTGCACTGCGAAGATGAGAGGTTTTTACTGCACAATGGCACCAGATTGGCTCAGAAGGGTGAGCGGTGCCTGCACCTTGGCTGGGCTTTGGCAGGAGAATTTGGGCATCTGGGTCTCCCCTGGTGGGGTCTGACCAGCCAGACCTTCAGCTGACAGAAACCAAAAATCATGGTGGGACACAGGGGTTGAAGAGTTACCATGCCCTCCCTGCTCACACGAATCTGGTCACGGGTTCATAGTTTGGAATTTTATCCTTTTTTCCCCCCCCCGAATTATTAAGTTTTTATACCCAATCGCTGTCCTCTGGAATTACAAGGAGGAAGAAACTGAAACGTGGTTGATAATTTTGGGTGGGGATGTTCCACACTGTGATTAAGGCATGGTCAGAACGTTCTCTGCACTTTGGAGGCTGCATCTCAAAAAAACCCAGATGAGCCCAAAGGGTTTGAGTGACGCTGAGGGTGAGCAGTGAGAAACTGAGGAGAAAAAAAATCCACCAATATTGCTTTATGAGGCTGGATGTTTCAATGTGTGTCTTATTGTCTGAGCTGAGGGTGCTGCAGCAAACAAGAGAGATGTAAACTGATTTCTGGGTGTCCAAAAACAGCCTCTGGGGCGAGCAGTGACTCATGGCAGCCCCTGCAGATGTTCCTGAGCCTCCAGAACCTTCCACGGAGGCGACAGGGAAAACTTTCCACTGCCCTCTGTAGGCTTCAGCTGGGGCTGGGGATGGCTTAGGGGAATTATTCTCACATAGAAAAGGCCAGGCTGGCTGTCCGTGCACCACGTGAGGCTCCAGCCCAGCACAGGAGCCTGTGGCTGTGCGGGGTGGGACGGGCACACGCATCCCCCGTGGTGCTGAACTTTAGCTGAGACCCTGCCATTCCTCCAAAATGTCACTCAGCATCACATGGCGTGGCAATTAATACCACCCGTGACACGGCTCAAATATTTAATCTACCTCTATTTCTAGAAATGTCACTGTAACCCTTTTCCTTGCCTCCCAGGCAAGTGTGAAATATTGGATAACCAATACCTGTCTCCAAAAGGCAGTGATGGAGCTGGAAGCTTCCTCCTTGAAAGAAATTCAAGGAAGTGAAGAACTAGCAGGAAAAACACTTTTTAACTTTTAATTATTTAAATTTTTAATATATTTTTTTAAATACTAGAACTAGTAGTGAGGCTGTGAAGTTGCTGGGGTTCAAGCTGTGGCCACAAAGAGCCCCTGCACCCGAAGAGACACCTGCAATTCTTTGGCTGCTCTTCAGCCAGCACCAGATTTGCTCGAGTCACTTCTTCCAGACCTCAGTGCTGGCCTTTGCCTCAATTCCTTTGTGCACGGCAGGTGACACAGATGAGAAAACACAGGTGAAGACCCGAGGAGCATTCCTGGCAGGCCAGCAGTGTCCTGAGGCCGGACACAGAGCAGGAGGGGCTGTGACCTCTAAGGCTGCGACCTTGGGGACACAGCGCTGACTCACTGGCCGTGGCATGTGGGAATTCTGCCCTGGGAAAGGCAGGGCTGGCTGGACTCTGCGCTGGCTCACCCCTTATGGTGCCAAGGGGGTGAGGATGAGGAGGGTGGAAGGAGGAGCCCTCGGTGTGCAGACTCTGCAGGCGCCTGCTGCTCCTCTGAGTGCGACCCTGCAGACACAGGAGGATTCCTATGGAATTACCCCAAAATTGTTCCTTTGGCAGGGAGCCTGGTGCAGGGGGGTGGTTTATGGGACAGCTGCCGTGTGCTGCCCCCTTGCCCAGCAGCGTTTGTGCCTTCTCTGAGAGCTGGCACAAGCAGAGATGACCTTGGGGGTGCAACTTCACGGGGCTTTGTGCCAGTGGCAAAGGGCGGCCCCAGGGCACCGAGCTCCATCCCTGGCAGCCTGGTGCTGCACTGAGATCCTCGCCAGGAGTTTGGGACAGCTTCCCAGAGCACCAGCAGGCTGAGGCAGCAACGGGAAACATTTTGTCAGGCTCGCATATCCTAAAACGCCTCGCGGGAAGAGAACACTGCCCTGCCTGCAGGTGGAATCACCTGTCCAGAACACACCTGGGGCAGAATTGGGGCTGGGACACGAGATGTGACCCTCCACCCCCACCCAGGACAGCAGCACAGGCAGGTGTAGGTGACGGCAGAGCAGCTCAGTTTGGGGTCACATTCCTGATATTTCTTGCACACTGAGCCAAAACATCTGCACCATTAAATTGTTGATGCCACAGCTGCCTCTTAGTGTGCCTATCCACTGCATTTTGGAGGAGGAGTTTCATTGCTGCACAGCATTACCTGACTGAGGTCTCGTGCCAGGAATCCCACGAGTCTTGTTTAAAATCTAAAGAAACCAAATTGTTAAGGTTTATACCCAAAAAATGATGTTGTGTTTAATCACGTAGAAATCAGATCTCTCTTGGACAAATGACAGTAATAACCAGTGCAACTTTAGATGCAGCTAGTCCTGTTTCAAATAATGCCCAAATTCTCATGTAGCCCCTGAGATAGACTGAAAGAACATGAAAATTATAGAGGATTGGTGCAATTAATTCACCCCTTACCACAGATAAAATTTTAATTAGAAATGGATAAATCATAATCAACAGCCCTTTAAGAATTTTTTGTTATTTCCTTCAGAATCCCACCAGAGGAGAAAACTCCTTTGCTTATGAGGAGGTATTCCAGTTTAAAGAGGAAATGAAAGTAAGAGCAAAAAAAATCTGGGTGGGACTGATGGGGTTGCAGACAACCCCATCACAGGCCATTGACTCAAACATAACAGATATGCAGGCTGGGAATTAGAGTTTTATTTATTTTATTTTTTTACCTCAGGTTGATTAATCCTTAGAATTTATTTCTCTTTTCCAGACCACACTGTGTCTAAAAGGTTTTTAACACAAAGCTAATGCCTTCCTAAATGAGGTGTTCTCCTTCCAGCACACCTGGTCAGCTCAGCCAAACACTCAATTCCTTCCCAAGGGTGGAAACTGATACCCTCAAACATTCCTCTGATCCTGAAACAGTGCTGTTTCCACTCCCCAGCTGCACTGTGGCAGCACCACAGGCACAAGAAAATGGATTTTCTATCATGAGCACGAGGGAAGACACTCAGGAAACTCCTACAAGAGAAACACCTGCACTTTCAATTTGTAGGCTGGGCAGTGGTTAAATTACCCTGATGAAAGTGAAATCCTTGCAGGGGAGGCTTAAAGGTGGTGAGGCCTGGATCACAGCACAGTAATTCTGGTGAAGTGCACCCAGGGAAAACACACTCCTTCCATCACAGGAAACCTGCAAACCGACTGCAGTGGCAGCTGAGAGTTTCTGTGGGCAAAGGAGAGATGAGTTCATTAATGATTCGTGGTCAGAATCGACAAAAAGCTGAGATGAGGATCTTCCCTTAGTCTGGGGCCATTGCATTCAGAGTCTTTCTAAATTAATCTTTTAAAATGTTTGCTTTGAAGCAATGCCTTACTTAAAAATCTTGCTGTCTTTGGAAGTGAAAAAAATTGATCCCCCCCGGTGATATTATCCCTTGCCAGATAAAGTTTCTCATTAATTTTGTGCCCTCATTTCGAAAAAACTCGTTTTGCTGAGCTGTGCACCAGGTTTTTGAGCCGGCTGTGCTGTTCTTGGTGGCACTGCCTGTGCTGCAGGACATTTCACACTCGGGGCTGGAGCCCACCCGTGCGGCCAGAGCTGAGGCTGAGGCAGGAGCCTCTGGAAAGGATTGCACTCCCTTTCCCACAGCACTCCAGATGATCTTCGTTCCTTGTCCTAACTTTAATGTTCCCCCAGACCTTTGGCATTAGACAGTCACAAATGATGGCAGTCCTGCCATCAGAGGGGTGTACCTTACACTGTAAGAAGAGGTGTGTAGTTAAGTGGTTTTTTTAAAAAAAAAGAGGGAAAAATACCTCTCTCTTACCCTGTTTTATGTTTTGGGTTTTTTTAGGTAGACAACCTGCTCAGTCTGTGGCGTCTCCAGTGTGGGAGGCTTCTAGGAACTGCCAGAGAAGTGTCTGTCAGGTAAAAAAAAAAGTAAAAGAAATCTGTCAGGTGAAAAAAACCTTCTGTCGGGTAAAGCAGAGCCTGCCTGAGGGTCAGGAGAAGCTTTTTGTTCTGTGACCCAGACTGTCCTGGGGATGAGCCCGCGGGACATCGACTGCCCACAGGGACAGCACCGGGGCTCTGGGGCAGGGTCCGGCGGGGATGAGCTCGCTGTGCTGCGGGGATTAAAGCTCAGGGAGGCACAAATGAGGGCGAGGAAGGTTCTCAGCTCAGCCACCGCAGGCTTGGCACGAAGCCTGCGCCCTCCGGGCCGCCAGGAAGGTCTCGGAGCCTTTCCAGGCTGCGCCTTTTCCTCCAGGGCTCAGCTGCTCGCTTTCCCCGCTGTGGCGTTTCCCTCTGTGCCCGCAGGCTCCGGTCTCTGTTTGCAGCCTGAGCGGGGCTTAGGGAGCTTAGGCGGAGCTCCTGCCCCAGCCTGGGCACTCTCAGAGCCCCGGGAGCTGCTCTGGGCATCCCTGGCTGGTGATCCCAGCCTGGCGCTCCGTCCTAGGCACAGCCCGCACAGCATCCCTCTAATTGCTGGGCAGAGCGTGTCCGCCCCTCAGACAACACAGGGCTCGGAAATTCCCAAAAATTCCGCGCCGGTGGAGGCGCAGATCGGCGCCTGGGCTTGTCTGAACTCACAATATCAGAGTCTGCAGTGGGGACTGGGCTGTGGCTCTGCTTCCAGGGCAGCTTTTGGGCTGCCAGCAGCTCCTGCAATGGTGAAACAGAGCGAAAAAACACCCGGAGCTGCTGCGGGAACACAGCCGGGGCTTCACGCGTGGGAAAAACAATAGTTCTGCAAAGACTGGTCATAAGGAAATATTTGCAGGGCGTGGGAGGAGGGTGCTGTGCTGTGGAAAGGCACGGGAAATGTGCTCAACACCCAGGGGAGAAGTCGTCAGGAAAATCTCCACAGAAGCCTCCGGCTTGGTTTTTATCCGCGGTCACCCCGCTCAAAGGCGTTTTTGGGAGGGAAAACGCGGCTGCAGGCACAGGAGCCTGACCCGACCTGCAGGGTCACCGAGGAATTCACAGATGCAGGGAGAACCTTTCCGTGGAAAAACACTGGAATTTCTGCCAAGCAGTCAGCACCTTTCTCTTTTTTTGGCTTTATTTGCTGGATATTGTGTTTCAAAGGCATGGAGGAGACAGAATGAAAAGATTCTGGTAAAAAAAAATTCTGCTGCAGCACAAGAGAGGACATAAAAAAAATGACCCCAAAGTTGGGACACATCCCATTCCTCATCTCACAGAGGTGACTGGCATAGCAAGAAAATACTGCTTTGCAGCATAGAAACATGCAATGTTTAATTTAATTTATTTAAAAAATATGTAAAATGTTTTATTTCGGTCTTCTCACTTCTTTACCAAGTGAGAAAATAAAGGGACAACATTGCATTTGTCTTTGGTCAAGAGAGAGAAAGGCAAATAAGTAAAGTAATAAGTAAAATTATTGGGAATTTGCTCGCTAGAAATAAAATCAAAAGCTTTGAGGAGTTTGGAATAACCTCCAAAAGAATGGTGAGGAGGCTGCCTAAAAAATAATCTTTGAAAGAACCTTTGGTGAAACGACTGAAGCAGCAGATCCTGGAAGAAATGTC